GGCACCTGTGCCTCTCTAGTGACTCACCACATGTGCCACGCTCTGTGGTCAGCAAGGGGCGTATCTGCTTCCTCCACTGGACAGGGATATCCATGAGGCACCCGGCGCACCCCAGGCACCGCAGCCAGTGGGGCTCAGTGAGTGTTGACTTGACTGGGCGCAAGGCCACGTCTGCACAGCTGGGGCAACGGCGGGGGCAGGAAGCCTGCTGACTCCCGGGCGGGTGAGAAACCGGCACACAGGATGCTCCTGGGCGGGGACTGTGGGCAGGGCCCAGCGGTTCAGGAGGGGGACAGCTGTGCTGGTGAGGGAGCTCCCTCTGGGCAGATGTACCCCCAGTTAGACCCTCCGTCCTAGGACATCCCCAGCCCTGAACACTCCTGGGTTATAATGGTGATCTTTCTTTCCCCTGTTCAAAGAGAGATGCTTGAGTTGAAAGAATCCTTAGAGAGGCCATCTGGTCATGTTTTCTTCAATAATTGTTTGTTTATTAAGTACCTTTTTTTTTTTTTTTGAGATGGAGTCCCACTCACTCTGTTGCCCAGGCTGGAGTGCAGTGGCGCGATCTCGGCTCACTGCAACCTCCACCTCCCGGGTTCACACAGTTCTCCTGCCTCAGCCTCCCAAGCGGCTGGGATTACAGGCGCCCACCACCACACCCAGCTAAATTTTGTACTTTTCGTAGAGAAGGGCCTTCACCATGTTGGCCAGGCCGGTCTTGAACTTCTAGCCTCAAGTGATCCACCTGCCATGGCCTCCCAAAGTGCTGGGATTACTGGCGTGAGCCACCGTGCTGGGCCCTAAGTACCTATTTTTTACGTGTTAAGTATTAGGAACATAAAACAGAAGAAAACAGCGCTGTCAGTGGAGTTCACTTTCTACTGGGGAAGAGAAGAGGCTGACAATGCAATTATAATTCAGTCGCATTTAAGCAAAGCCACAGGTGAACAAAAAGCCACAGGATCTGGGGACAGGGCACCCAATGCAGACTGTGGTGGCGGTGGGTGTCAGAGAAGCTTCCCAGAGGCGGTGAGGCCTAAGCTGAACCTGAGAGGTGAGGAAAAGAGACCAGACTGACCAAACCGCTCCACGTCCTTCCTCCACTCCAGGCCCTTCCTCAGCGCCAGGCCCTTCCTCCGCTCCCTGGGAGGCTCCTCTTGCGGTG